GTTTTTTTTGTATGTATAAAAAGGATATTACCTCCTTATTGTTAGGAAATTTTTTATACAAGTAATTTAACCAATCTGCAGTATTAATGCTTTTAAATCCAAAATTATTAAAATAAGATTTAAGAAATGGTTCGAATAATGTGGGTCCTCCTAACATATTCTCTAGATGACATAAAAGAAAATATCCCCTTTCGTATGGCACATATTTAGTGACGTCAGGTGACGAATCTTTCAAATTAGGTAATAAGCATTTTAGCAAAGCAACATTTGCGGGTTCTTGGACCTACAATACAATTTACAGTATTTACACAATACAATTTCAGAAAATAGTCCAGAAAGAATTCAGGAACTGGATGTGTGTTTATAATTCATACAATGTAAAATATTGTCAATTGATAACATTATATATTACTTTATTTCTTTATCTAATCAAAGTTAATATCTCACCAAACTATTCAGGTTCTTTAATCCCTCCCTTTGAAGAAAGACATCTATACCATCATGATATAAAATTGTGCGCATGATTTTTCTCGAAATAAAAATGCTGAAACTCTTATTTAACCACAAATGTTCATAATTGCAACATGTAACTAAATTTCCTGCCCAGATCTGTGAGATGTTCCGAGCTAGTAAATAACCGACATAAGAACGATCTCCGTAAATTAGAAACGGTGAAATAAATATCATACATGGACATTCTATTTCGAAATGGGCGATACTTGGTGGAAGCAGGCATATATCGTATCTACCTGGAGATATATTATTTGAAATGTAATAACAAAAACCAATGGAAAGATTGAACTGCAAATTCGAGTGTTATTTTTACATCCAGAAACATCTAAAAATGACTCATTTAACTGACGCTTTTTTTACATGCTCCTTTATGTGTTAAATTACGTCATTTAACACGCATAAGCATAAAATTAAAAGTTAATACGTTCAATCGTGTTAAATGATGTGATTATAAACGGCAAGAAATGCGTAAGAAGGAGCTCCAACTAAAATAACACACTTGGGTTTGCAAAGTAACAAACAAAAAAACAAAAATTTATTATACGTATAAATTTTAATAAACATATCAAAATAATTTTAAAAAAATTACAAAAATTTAAATTTAATTCAATTCAAATAAATAATATTAAAAAATTTATGTACTTTACCCCACACGTAAGATCCACATAAACGTTCGGTAAACTGCAACATTTCTTTAATTATGGTGGAAGGAAAATCATTTATATATTTAGTCTTGAAAATGTATTCTTCGGCAAATATATTCATTTCTTTGTTAAGTTCTTTTTCCTTTAGTAAGCCCACAGCAATAATCACCGCATAAGATGGTACAGATATGTATTGACGGAATTTATATTTATCTAGTTCCGGATCCTTCCTGTCTACTTCAAGCGAAAGTGCAGACATTAGAACTCTATAATTTTTTGGTACTGAAATCTAAAAAATGAAACATACGAATAACAAAATTAAATTGATATATTTTATTTCAATTTAACTGAAGCAACTTCTAAGAAAATTTAGGCATTTAATTATATTTTAAACATCTAATTTTTATTTTTTTTTTACTAATGCAGTTTATCTCGTCGCAAATTTTTATTACTTTTATCAATAATGTCAGTAGTAATTAATCAAATGTCATTGATTTTATGTAAACAAATAAATGTTAGGAGCATGCAAATACCACCTGTGTTTAAATTCTTACCGTAGCAGAGTACGTAAATTTGACAGATGGGGTGTCTTGGCAAGGAAACCACGATCTAGCGTTAATTAGCTAAAAATAATAGAAACTTTTATATAATTTATGTTGATGTGAGAAAATGTCTTTGTTTAACCAATTTACCTTGTTGTTAGACAGTAGAAAGGGATGTTTACCATCGGCAGTTTGCTTTGGTGTTAGCCAATATAATGCACGAGAGTCTTCACGTGTTTCATATTCAATTTGTATTTTACATCTGAAAGTATTGTAGACGTATTCAATTCATACATTAATAAACTTTTAGTAAATATATTTCTTTAAAAATATTTTATATTTACTCAGGGTTATCAGTGCCAATAATTGATGGCAAATCTACGCGAATTGCATTTCCAAAGGCAGAATTAGTTTCATCAATATGACGATGTAAAACTGTTCCATCAAGCGCGTTTGTGACATGTCCTATATCAAGTCCGAGGTTATCTAAAATCTAATTGTTCGATATTACATATTAATAAAACCTGCAGTCAAAATTTTTACTCGATATGAAAGGAAACATCTATATATACTCACTATCCGATTAATTGAAGGTTTTCTTTCTATTGTCAAAATCACTTTTCCTTTAAGAACTTTTTGATCAAAATCCACAGTCAATTTTAAATGAGTATGGGTTATACGTGCTTCTTCTAATAATCATCAGAAAGATACAGAATAATAAAATATAAGTAATAAATAATTATATAAATATATAAATGTAATGAGCAATAAATATACGAAACAAATGACATATTGTAATTAAAATTATTATAAGTAATTGCTTGTTATTACAGCAATTACAAATAATATTTTATTTGTAAAATGCAAACAATTTTCAAACCTTTAAGCTAGATGCAATATATTTCATGCATTTAAGAATGTTGCTAGTTAATAAAAACTGTAGATAATAATTTAATTTTGAAAACTATGCGTTATTATATAGAGCTATATAAGTATATATATAGGTACGTGTAGCAGTTTCGATTTCGAACATTTATAAATTCCGAAAAAATTTCTTATTTTATTGTATTTTCTTTAAGAAAAAAGTAAATAGTATTTTTATTGTGCTTATACAACAAATTAATAATTCAAATATACCTGGATTCGAAAAAGTGTGTGGATCTCTATTATTAGTAGCACTTAGAAAATCCATTTTACAAGAGTCACGTTGTAGCCTTTTCAAGCGACTTGCAATCGCACAGAAGCAGCTAGGTGTTGCTTTTAACTTCTATCACTTTCTTTTGTTTGGCAACATATTCTATTTATTAGAATTAGAACATCAAAGTGACCGCGCGTTTTCTCGCGGATAAACATATATCCGAATCAGATACCTATAAATTTAGAAAATAAAGTTGTCATATGTAATTTTTCGATTTATGTAGAGAATATATAATTAAAGTAATATAAATACGTCTAGCAGAGCTTTACATAAATCCAAAAATTACATATGCATGGGAACTGTTTCCTTTTTTAGAATGATCGAACTCAGATGGTATTTTATCTTCCGAGGGTTATGAGGAAATTTACTAGAGTATATTTTACGATTTTATATGTCGAAATTTCGTAAATCTGTTCTTTTGTAATTCTTTACTTTTATAATTTTCAAGGTGTTGTGAAAAGAAATAAAAGGAGAGAAGCTTTCGAGAATATTTGCGCGAAATCCCAATAATGCAAAGATTTTATGAATACATGTGCGATTCCTATGTTATAAACTAAAAATCTGGTTAGATAGGTTAACGTTCCAAATGAAAGTAATATCATGGACACCGTCGAAAGTGCGGAAAATGCTAAAGAAGAATCGTGTATGAAGGCTGAAGTGGATGAAGCGAAGCCCGAGATCACACGAGTCAGTCATCAAGAATTAGTGAAGTTAACTAAGGCGACTATAGACAGTCTTGTTGAGCGCGAGCCACTGCTCTCTGGATTGCCTTCGGATGTGACAATAGAAGAACTCAAATCGCAAGTCGCAGTCGCGCAAGGGCAGGCCATAACATTGTTTTTAAACCGAGGAGAACTGCCGAAGCTCGCAGTGGTGGTAATACATTTGTATAATTTATGGCATTTGTATTCCACGATGCAATTGCATGTATCTATCACTTCGATGATAATTCATGTTATTTCAGGTACCTCCACATAACACAACGGTGCTTGATCTGAAAAAGGCCGTCAAGCGACACATGACCTTATCCTTGAAGAGAGAAAATGTCAAGAAGAAGATAAGCTGGAAGCACATCTGGAAGAAATATCATCTTTGCTTCGAAGACACTAGGCTCTCTAACGATGGAGAAAACATTAAAGCTTATGGTATTACTAATAAGGTGGAATTGCACTTCGCGAAAAGGCGTAGGGAAAAGAATAAGTTGATAAAAAGTTAACGGTATTTCTGTAATTACAACTCACGTTATAATAGTTATTTTATCTCTTTAGTATTTCTGTCAAGAAATTATTATTATTTATTTTATAGTAGTTGAGATTGTACGAATAACAATTAAATACTGTGTAAATAAAGATAAATATACTTTACAATTATATATCATATAAGCTATTATATTCCTAATGTTTTATAGGCATTAGTCTTTCGGTTTTTCTTCAGGAACAAGAATTTCACAAGCCAATCCTGGCATGCAGTCCTCCAACATGAAGCAAGTCAGCTCGAACGCGACGGACTTGTGATGATTCGTTACGACCAGCTTCTTCAAATTGATCATTCTGTACAGAGATTCCAGTCCCCTCTCGGTGATCTTCTCGCAGCCGGAGATGTCTAGGTATTCCAATTCGGGCAACTCGGCCGAGATCTTGTCCAAGCCCCAATCGTCGATGTTCTTACAGTCTTTGAGACTGAGCCACTTGAGCTTCACGAGGCCGCAGAAGTTACTCAGGCCCTCGTAATACAGATCAAACCCATTGGCGTCTGCCGCCTCAAGAACGTAGTCCATATCGTAGTGGTTAGGTAACCGATATGAACCCTTGTCGTCCCGTTCCGTCCAGTGAGCGTTACCCCTGAACTTGACCCGGCCGCCGCGATGGACGAGGAAATGAGCGGTGGCCAGATCGGCGCCCAATATCTCGTGCCTCTGTGGATCGAACGCCTGGGCGCTCTTGGAATACGCCTCCTTCTCGTGCTTGTACCATTTCGCGATATTGCCCAAGGAGAAGTCGGTCGCCTTGGGCGCGGCCGTGGGAAACCAGAAAAACGTCTTGGGCTTCTCCGGGTCGTCCCCGGCTTTTGGTACCACCGAATCGAACTCCTTCTCTCTCCATTCGTACTGTCGTTTCTCATGATCCACGCTGTAGCCACGCGCCGCCTGAGCGAGCGCGTTATCCGGAAAGTACGGACGCTCGCACAGTTGCTTACCGAGCACGAATGTAAGTCGCCTCGATAGCATTATCGGTTAAAATCTGAGTCTAACTGTCAGAGTCTCGGGCTAAAACTTCGGTCGGAGAACGATGCCAACGTGCGCGTACCGTATTCTAACCTAATCTGATCCAAGTGACTGATCGAACAGCTGATTTTGAATTCGCTCCATCAGGCCATCAGGTCCTACAGTTTGTATGTACAATGTACATAATACAATTTTTCGGAACTTGAGATAAGAATATAACCAGAAAGGTGTCTTTTCCATGTCGACTAAGAACTATATTAATCATATGTATAAATTGCAAATGAAAAGAAATCGAATGTTAAGAAATATATTAAGAAATTGAAAAAGTGTCGGTTCTCTCTCATGATGCAAATAAGAACTGGACAGGTGACGTCTTTAGATAAATTATGTGTCTGTATTGTCAATTTTATTTTGTATACCTATATTCTTGGATATAAATGTATATTTCTACTTTGTACATAAGGATTTCCGAGACCTCGAGATTGTCTCACAGCTACAAACGTTATATGAATTTATGTAAACTTATTAGGTCATTAAGGAAAGCTATAAGCAGGACATTGCACTTTTGCAGTAATGCTAGAACTAACATTACTTAAAATATGAGTCGTTATGAGTCAAGTTATTTGTACATCATAACATCCGGGGATTGATACATGCACATGTATGCGTCGCAAAGTAGGCGCTTCGCGTGTTCCGGTAAATGACGGTCGTCTGTCAATTCGGTCAAATAATTTCCTCCTTCTTCGCTCAACCAGTAAGGAAAATCTGGACATGGCACCATCTCCGGTATGTTGTATCCATTTTGTTCTCCTAGTGATAAAAGAATTTATTTTGTTAAAAATTGACAATATAATTATCTTAAGATTTAAGATTCTAAACAATAAAAGGTAATAGTGTATATCATGATAAATGCAAAATAATGATTCGATAAGATATAAAAAATATACAAAAAAAGTTATTTTATTTACATAAATGAGTGAAAGTACCTTTTCTGTCGGCCATGGAATCGAAAAAGCACCATGGTGCTTCCGAGCCAGGGCCGCATTTTACAAATGAAACGTAGTGCGAAGTTTCGATGCAGACCACCGCGGATAGCTCCAGATACAGACGCGGTACCGGACAATGTTCTTGCAGAATTGTAAACTCCATAGGTACAGTCAGCTTCTTTGGTTCATGATTCGTTCTTCGTTCATGACGATGTACCTAAGGGAAAAATCAACGTAAAATAATTTATTTTTGGATATCTTACGTTTATGGATCTATTTTATGTTTACAAACTTTTTCGAGGCACTGTGAACAGAAAGCTATGCTTTCGAGACCGACGCCGCATTGCCCGTAACACTCCTTGCACTCGAATTCTGCCAATTTGCCGCACACTGTACATTGTCTGGGTGCTGCAAAACAATATGTAAATGTTGCTTCAAATTGTTTCAGACAGAAGCGATTGCTGCAATTCGCAATGTGACATAACGATACTTAACAGTCTTCGATAATATCCGTTACGTCGAGCAGTAACGTAGGCTGTATCTTCTGATACATTTTAAATGATTTTCCAAAGCGCGGCATTTGTATGATGAGACAGGAAGGAACTTCCTTCAGTCTGATATTACTGGTCAGGAAACTCTGTTCCAGCAACTGCTGCACGGTCGGTAGATTTAAATGATCGTCCTTCTCGACAAACAACTGATAATGATAGGCGTCCTGTCCGGAGCTTAATTTGAGGAATGGTTCGGCATTCAAGATCTGGGCGACTAATGACGTTAGGAATTCTTCCGGATCTAAGTATTAGAGAGATATATTAAAAGCCATTAGTCAAGCAATTGGAAGTAAAATCTGTAATGTTTCGGAATATAAAAATAAACCTTTTTCTTCGCTAGTGAGGCCGGATACCGACGACAGTTTTTCGAGCAACGTTCTAAGCTTCATTACACGATCCGCTCTGACAAACATATTTTTTCTCAATGGATTTACAATCTCCTCTCTCAAGACCCTTTGCACTTCTTCATACTGTGGACAATCTTTTTCGTTCGGTGGGCTAAAAAGTCAATCACATAAAAACTTTTAAGACCATTACACTACTGTTATATTTGTGTAACAAAATCAATGTTTTCTTTCAAAGAGAAGTAATCCTTTTTAACCAAACATATTCGATTAAAGTAAAATCAATTACCGAAACAGGAGATTGTCAAATACGCTGGTAAATGTGAACATGCTGAAAAGAGTAGCGTCCAAATAGCACGAATTATGATGACCTTGAATACCACGATACTTCCCGCATATGCTTTCCAAGTCTCCCTTAACGGAGATAGGCCGTACTATGCCCGCGATTACGGAACTCTCCATATTGCCGAAATTGTCGTTATTTGTAAGCGCAGGCCGTTCGTCGAGCTTCGTCTGTTTGCAAAAAATATACTCATATATTCAAATATATTCACTCATTTTCATAATTAACAAACATGGCACATTAATATTGAGAAGGTAACTTATTGTACTTACGTTTTCGTAATGAGAACAGTGTTCGATGTCTGTGAATACAGCTCTGTAAGGCCTACAATGGAAATACCTGGTGTCTTTGTAAGTTCCGTCAGTACCTAAAGGATGTCCATTATCCTACGAATGACACAACGTTCAAGTTGTTTCTGTCGTTCTTCTGTAACAGTTTATTTAATAAATCCATTTCACTCACCAGCTCTACAGCTGCCATCAATTTGCCAGGACTTGTACCGGACGGTGTGCCGATCCATCGAATAACTCCATAATGGACATCAGAATCCAAAAGTACTTTCACATTAGAGCCCACCATCAAATCTCCCTTATTCTCTACCCTGTTGAATTTTTTGACTTCGTTCTTCTCGCCATTTCCTATTGCAATTAACAAATTAAGTTTGTCCTATGTCAATTGTTGTTATTCAAGTACTTGTATGCAATGCTTAAAGACAATGCATAAAAAAAGTAACCGATTACTTTTCTGATGTAAAAGTAAAATAAATATCGCGGAAAAGAAAAAAAAACATTTGAGTTAAAAGTGTAGTAGAGGTCAATTTTATCTTACTGTAATCTAACAAGCTTATGCCACGCATATCTTCTACATCACTGTACACATTTGATTCTATATCACTACTCCACTTGTGCTCCAATACAAAAATAGGAATGTTCTGCAGTTCTGCTGTCATTGTTAAACAAAAATGCAATAACTGTAGAGCTCTTTATAACCTACTGGCAGCCCTCTAGGAAGTCAGGCTAGTGCTTTGTGCTGTCTATTTTTAAATACCCTGAGCTATTATTAACCTCCCTCTATCGCACGGAGGAAATCAAAGTCCGGCACTGGCTAATTTCGTTTTAGGATTCTTAAGGGAAAGTACTGGTGGAATAAATATATTTATTGCTTTTACGACTGTGAAATTACCGCATTTAAAAAGGGCGTGATCGATGGTTTTGGTATAGTTATTAACATCATTTTCAAGATCCGATTTTCCAGCCTGATGACGGTCCTTCAGTATATTGACAGATTCTTGGTTGTTGTTCTTGTTGTCGTTAAATAAAGTAAATTGTTCTAACAGAACAGCTGGTGTACTGTCAAGCACAGATTTTTTCTTATCGTTGGCATAGTCAGTTCCTGCATTATTTTTCAAGAACGGTGCTGAAATATACAATAGTACGTAAGTTGCATGATTTAGGGCCGGTATCACAGTCTCCGATTAACGTGATTCTCCGATTAAACTCACTCTGCATCTCTTTCTAACTATCCCCCTAGAAAGAGACGAAGAGTGAGTTTAATCGGAGAATCTAGGGAGAATCACGTTAATCGGAGACTGTGATACCGGCCCTATAAAACTAATGAAAGGAACATTGATTAGTAAATGTAGATACTTTTCTCAATGCCGCAGATTGAGTCGGTTTCTTTGTAAGGTAATATATTATTTATAGTGGCTAATATTGCAGCAGCATTCCAATGTGTGGAGCTAAAATATTCTTTGGCCAATAAGGATGTTTTGGATAGTTCCTGACTTTCCTGTAACGTATATACATAATTATCCTTAACATTATTGCATTCTATATTGATATACATGTATTCATTTACTGCATTGTTAATTATATTGTAAATTTGTCTCAAAAGTCGCGCACTTTTTTTTTATCAGCCCATATTCTTTTTGTTCGTAGTTAATCAATTAATTCTTATAAAAGATACAGTATAACTTTAAGTTAAATCTTTACAACAAAACCTTGTCAAATATCCCTGAAGATTTTGAAGCTCAAGAAAGGATTAGTTACAAAATAAATTCAAGCTATACAAAATCACGAATCTTTAACGAGAGCAGCGGCAGCTAAAAAGCAGCTTGGTCAATTCACCACTAGTTCAAGGCCAAAGTAATGTCCCAATCCGAGTTTCGGCACGGGTCCGATGTATCTGACAAACGCCAGTTCTCTGGCACGTCTGTTAGCGGGGTCGGAGCAGTGCCAGACCACATCGTTCACGGACACATTTCTCATCTGTTCGCACAGAGCCTCGTCGTTCGCCAATCGTACTCTCTCCTGAGGTGACTGAACGGCGAGCAGGTACTGCCAGACCTTCGGCGACACGGGGATCAGGTCGTACTTGTGGCAACGCCATTCCGTGCCGCACCAGGTCTTAGATCCGCCGACGGTGTCGGTCACGCGCACCCTCAACACGCTCTCCTTCAAATCCTCCAGTGCTTCTACAAGCATTCCCAGACGCAACTTGTTAACGTTAACGTCGCACGCACCGAATATCCGTATCAGTACCGTGTCTTGCTTGGCAACATAGTGCTGCAGGACCCGGCGTTCCTTGCTACTGTCCTCCATGGCCCGGTGTTTGTTAAACGATCATCGCCACCGTCGAAGGAAACCTACGTTCAATCTCGTTCGTTAACGCATCACCGTTGCTGTCAAGACCTCTCCGCCTCTCGACGTTTACCCTCGTTCCCTCACTTTTCTCCGAGAATCACATGTTATCCGGCCGATAATTTTTTCCTCCTTCGAATTTTCGTATTTTTCCTCAAATTCTTTTTCCTCAATGTTACATATTTCAGATTGCCGAGCCGTTAAAAATTTACTTTATTTTATTTTATTTACATATGCGGTGCGGAGAATTCGGCGAAACTCTGGAGTTCAACCAGCAGAAGCGAACGAACGCTGTCAAACTGGCTAGAGAATTTCTCTTTTGTACGTTGCACGTACGGAGTCACGAACTCAACAAGTTATCCACTATGGACATACAAATATGAATATATCTACAAAAAGGATATGTAGTGGCAATTAATATTATTGCAAATTGCATAATTTTTTTGCAAAGCACCAATGTTTCCTTTACACTAATTGATTGATCTTATTATTCTGTACATAAAAGTGTTAAGGTACAATTAATATATGTTATTATTATTTATCTCTTTAAGAATACTGTAGACACATTTA